AAAATGAGTATTTACATAACAATATAGTGTAATTTCGAATTAGATATTGCACATTACTTTGGAAAAAGAGACCCAAGTCAAATAATTGGCAAGGGCATGAATTTGTATTAAAACAAATATATAAAGGAAGGGAACACTAATGACCTAATGAAACAACGGATTAAAATATGTTTACAGTTTTAGGCAGTCTGAGAGTAAATTGGATAAAAGTGTATATTGCAAACGTATTATTATACAGGTTTGTTTAAAACCAAATATCTATTATTATGCATGAGAATAAGAAAGTTATTTGTCTAAAAAATATAGTAAAGAGTGTATTCAACAATTGCCATTGTTAATTGTAATGACATCATTCATCTGAAACAAGAAAAAAAATGATATTTGAATAACAATATTACATAATTTCGTATAAGATATTGCACATTATATTAGAAATAAAAAGCACAACATTAATATTTAGCAAGGGCATACAATTGAAGTTTTTTTTTAAAAAGGAACACTTATGAATTAATAAAATAATGAAACGATTTATAGATTCGCGTTAAGCAGTCTTATTGCAGAGGGCATTGTTGACGAGCGATACCGAGCAGTCCTACACATGGGGGTATCCAAGTGGTGAGAGTAACGTAGACGCCGGGAGGATATTTCGCTGCGTAGGGGCGGAAGGAAGTCTCGATGCCTGGAAGAAACCAACAGGCTCTTGGCAAAGGAGAGCAGCAACTGCTCATGTCGCTCGGACATGCGATTGATGCCAAGTGTTTCCAAAGCGTGTTCATAGGAGATGTACTGATCCCTCAGGATGATGCGACATATACGCTTTTGGATCCTCTCAATATCATTGCTTTGATTTGTTGTTACGCTTGTAGACCACAATGGAGATGCGTATTCTAATAACGGACGAATATATGTGGAATATATATTCACTAGGTCGTGCATCGGGACTGACGCTTTCCGCAGACGACAAATCATGAATATTCTCCTTCCAGCTCTTGAGACCACGTCGGAGATATGGCTATCCCATTTGAGATTCGCCTGTATAAGAACGCCAAGCAGCTTCAGGCAATTCGTGTCCTCCATCGGTTGATTATTCAGATGTAAGCTTGGAGGATTCGCTCTGTTTTTGGAGAAGTCAATTGACATGGTCTTACTTTTCTGAACGTTGAATTTCATGTCATTTTCCTTACTCCAACATGTCAGGTTGTCGAGATGATCCGCTAACGTCGAGACGCCAGAAGTGGAGCGGACCTCAAGAATGCTCAAATCGTCCACATATTTCCACCGTTGATCGAAATCCATCAGAGCGTCGTTTACCAGCGTTAGAAATATCAAAGGACCCAGCTTGGTCCCTTGAGGTACTCCGCAGGTCAGCGATAATTCTTCGGAGATACAGGGACCGATTCTGACTGCCTGGGTTCGATCACTCAAGAAGCTAATTACAGTTGATAAAATTGCTTCATCAACACCATACTTGATGAGTTTGTGTATCACAACATTATGATTGACGCGGTCAAAGGCCTTTGAAAAATCTATCGTGCAGAGTGTAGCACATTTCCTAGGCTTGTCCAAGCCACGGAGGATGGTATCCATGAGGCTCACCAGGTAGTGAGTGGTTGAACTTCCCCTTATGTTGCCGAACTGACGCGGATCCAGGTGAGGTGTTAAGTCTCTAATTAGGAACTGCGAAAGAAAACCTTCAAACACACGCGCCAGTATTGGTGTAATTGAAATAGGTCTCAAGTCAGAACAGCAGGTCACTGGATAGGACTTTGGTATCGGTGTTATGACAGAGCGCTTCCAACGAGGCGGAAATGAACCTCGATCTAGGACGACATTAAAGATGACTGATAAAGGAGCGGAAAGTTCGAAGGCGAATTCTCTTATTAGTTGTATAGGGATGTCCTCAGGGTGGACAGCCTTAGAGGGATTCAGTTTTTTCAGCATCTCAAAGATCTTAAATCTCTGAATTCTAGGAGGTGGTCTTCGGGCAGGTAGGAAGGCTGGACAAGACGAAATATCTAAGGCAGGCAGTTCACGGCAAATATTCGCAAAGAAGTCATTGATGTGTTTTGCCTGCTCAGAAGGGCTTGTGCCAAAGTCGTTCGGAAAATTGAAGGAAGACCGTTTATTCAGGCCAGCGAGGGAGCGGAGTTGTCGGTGCCATTTGCCAGGGCTTGATTTTTTCATGGCTGCAATCTTCTTCTGGTAGAAAACCGACTTCCGCTGCTTTATCTTGCGCTGAATCTGGTTCCGAAGTTTCATGAAGGTTGTTCTGTCAGCTAACTCAAACGCACGTTGTCTCTTACGGATGAGGGATTTCAACCTGTCCGTGATCCAGGGCTTGTCATTAGGTGAACGGCGACGAACAACAAGCGGAAAATGTTGCCGATAAGCTTGCCCTAGTACACTCTGGATAGATTGTACCATATCGTCCGGAGACTCCATGCCATCCAAGTAACGAAAGTCATACGAGGTGATCCAGCGACCAAAGGACCGTACACAGGAATCACGCATAGGTCGATAACTACACCTTGTCGTAGGTATAGGGCAGGAGGTCCTCGGGATCATCAGAACTGTGGAATGATCAGAACTTCCAATAGGTGCTGTTATTAGAGGCTTTTTGTAGAAATCTCCACAGTCAGTGAATATCATGTCAAGTATTCGGTTCTCTCTAGTTGGTAGTTTGACCAGTTGTTCGACATTGAGATGTCTCACAAACGGTTCCGTGGCAAGGTCATTGAAATCTCCAAGTATGATAATAGCAGCATCCAAGAAAGAGTTGCGTATGTGGTCACTCATATATATGATATGCTCGGTAATCTCTTCCTTCAGTGGTGTACCTGGTGGTGAATACACAACACAGATAAAAAGATTTACCGAGTTCCGGACATAGTTGCTCAGATTGGTCTTAACCCAGATGATCTCAAGATGACTAGGTGTAGACTCTACGCCGAACAACGTTGCACGAAGGTCATTCCTGGCATAAAGAGCTACACCTCCACCACGTTTGTCAAGTCTATCTTTGTGAAAGAGAGTGAATCCATTCATCTCGTTAGCATCAGCAGGATTTGATTCCGAAAACCACGTTTCAGTTACAGCTACAAGGTCACATCGACGAACCTGAACAGTTGCATAAAGTTCATCCAACTTATTGTTCATCGATCTGATGTTTGTAAGAAGGATTGATGGAAAATGCTCTTTACATTTAACACTGCGAGCCAGCTGGATAACGTAGGGTTTTCTAGTTGTAGCTGGTACATGATTCTGCCGCGAATTCGATATAACAACATTAATATGTCTCCTTATATGCGAGCCAGCTCTCCGACTCCTCGTTCGACGAGTTTGACACCGTGCTAGTCCCAAAAGGTCAATGTGTGTCAACACATCAGGGGGCAACTGCACTTTCGACGAACTGCTCGACATGTTATTACGTAACGTCCTCAGTTCACAGGGACTGTAGCACAGCCTATTATGTTGTGAAGAAGTCATTGTTACAAGTACAAAAGATATGAACAACAGACAACAAAGTACTAGGAGTGGTCCGATCCGCCGTAAGTCATGTACGTTATACATGAATTGTGTATATCTGTTCTCAAACGATGACTGGTGCATGATGAAAACGTGGTTGTAAACAGTAAAGTGAATTGCAAATCACACAACAAAGTTACTCACGGTTGACAACTGATGATGATAAAACAGATCAAACACACAAAAAATTGACTAAATTCTCCAAGGTGGTGAAAAATATGAAAATTAGTGTCCTGAATGAAGAGCAAGCTAAAAACATGGGCTAGCAGCATAACAGCGCCCTCTAGTACTACTGATCTTGATGTTAATGCCGCAACAAAGTCAAAGTTTGCAGACCTGAAATGACCTTTGACCTTGACTTTATCATCTAACAGACTAATCACATGATTGGTGATACTTGATGGCCCTTATGTTCAAGTTTCATGGAAAAGAATGCATAATTTCAAAATTATGATAAAAATTCAAAATAATAATAATAACTATAATAATAGCCTAATAGTCCACTCCAAATTTTATTAAACCGAAACGGAAATTCTTTTTGCCCAATTGATCGTGAGCCCGGCAGCCACTGAGCAGCGCCAGATCGACGTTGCTCTATCCCTTATTGTTGAACGCCAAAATCTTAACCTGATGCCACATAGTCTAAGTTTGTTGACCGGAAATGACCTTTGACCTTGACTTAGTGACCTAAAATTCTACTCACATGATAATTGATAACCCTTTAATCAAAGTTTCATTGAATAATAACTTATACTTTCAAAATTATATTAAAAATGCAAAAACTAACCTTCGTTAAGTTTTTAATGTTAATGCCGCCGCCAGCACCGTCACCGGAATAGCGGAGCCTATGTCTCGCAGGCGAGAAAAAAATGAAAATGTCCTCTATGTGACTACAACGATTAAAGTTAGAAAAATTTGTGCAATCTTAAAGGGGAAGTCCACCCTGAAATTAAGTTAGTTTTAATAGGAGTAGAAAAATGAGAGAAACAAGTCAGTGAAAGTTTGAGCAAATTCCGATTAAAAATAAGGAAGTTAGGATTTTTTAAGTTGTGATCAATCAAACACAAATTGGCAACTCTATGACGTATCATGCGAGCTCAACTTCCATTTGCTCAGTACTAAAAAAATCTAAAATTTTCATTTTCCCTCAAGAAAAATTTCAACCATACATGCACCCTAAATATAATAATTGCAAATATGTTTCTATACTCCCCCTGCAAGGAACAAATATATATTCCGTCATCAATAACGAAGAAAACATGATTTTATGGAATATTATGCACAAAGCAAATGAAGGAGAGCTCGTATAATAAGTCACAGAGTTGCCAATTTGTATTTGATTGATCACAACTTCAATAATTCATAACTTTCTTATTTTCATTCAGAATTTGCTCAAACTTTCACTCACCTGATTTTCTTATTATTCTGCCTCTATCGAAACAAACTTATTTTGGGGGTGGACTTTCCCTTTAAAAGCAAGAATGTATTGGATACGACAGAAATATGACTAAAGCTTGTCTAGATCGAGTATATAAATTTTACACACTGTATTTTCAAGAATCTTTCTTGATAATGGATGAATTGTCTGTTAAACAGGAAAAATTTGATACAAATTCTTTCACTCCTATTTCATGAAATAAATGCTGGTATACCGGAAAGCTCATTTGAATTCTTACAGAATACATGTATCACCGTGATGAAGGATATATCAACAGATCCTTACGGATTCAATTCCTGATGACCTTGTTATGATTGTGCAATGCAATATATTATCACTATCATTTAATACAGTATAGCCAATATGAGAAAACACAAACCGGTCAGAGTTAGTTATTCGGGTAGCCTGGTTGCCTCCACATTCAACAGGTTTCATTTTCAAGGCCGTAGCAGTCTGCTGTCATCACGTGGTCTGATGATGATCACCTTCTAATATGTTAACAATTTTGATACGTTGTTGCTTGATGGCGAAACCACATATTACTTGAGCGTAATATTCCCATTCATCATCACTGTGGCCATAGATATAAACGAAAATAGGTGCAAATGAAAAGAATATAACAAGTACTATTCAAAGAAACAATGGATGATTTTCTGTTAAATTTGGCAATTGCAATTTCTATGATATTATAAATTTAATTGATAATAGTTCAAAATTAAGTTTCCTGAGATTGTAAAATTTGTATTTCAGATTTAATTTATTTGTGTTAATGAATAGATCATTTACAATATTTTTTGGAGAGATATTTTTGTTTGATTTCATTTAACCTTCAGCCAGTAACTAAAATGCAATGGATTCAATAATAATACATGTATATTCAAATTGGAGAGAAATTGATAATGATCAAATGCTAGGATATCATTTAGTAAAACCAAAATTAGATTTGAATTGACTACATAGGTGCTAATAATTTTAGAGTATTTGTAGACATTAGTGAGGCATTTTTCCCGAAAGGTACGACAAGCATTACATTTCAGGCAGGGAAGACTTAATATATAGGATGTCACTGTCATGACCAAGGTAGCAGGCAGAGGAAAATAACACATAGGATTACACTCCGCACTTATCACCCATCTTAATGACATCATTTCTTAATTTCTGATATTTACACAGGGTGGCACATATAACCGATTTGGTGGTCTTCCATGAGGCCCTGTTTTAATTCAATTCAATTCAAATTTATTGGTCTAATTGTATTTGTTGTTCTTTTTAATTACAGAAGTGAGAAATATACAGGATGGACATGTAATCTAGATTTATATCTTACCTTTCCATGCATCACTGTGACAGTCAGCTCGCCTTCACTGTTCACCTCAGAAATCAGTGGATCCAGATCCGCGTTGGTATCACAAGTATCCAACCTATAGTAATAAAACAGTACATTTCGGGATCATACATGATCTTTTGAACAAACCTGAAATACGATACTCTCTTAAAAGGCATGTATAATAATTTACTGTGCATAGATGATTTTTAAAATAATTAGCAATTTTCTAGGTGTAAACTTTTTTTTGACTCACACGGTACAGCATCTTTCAGACAACCCGCTCATATTTGCAATTTTTTTTAACCATCTGAGATTAATTCCAAACCTTAATGCAGCTACATGTACCTCTGACCCTGCATAAAATCTAATTCAGTGACAATGACGATAGGTTGCTTGATGGGCAGAGTATTTTGACAAAATCAATTTTCCTTTTGATATCAAGAACCACCTGTGCAGGGACTAATTTTCCTGGTACCGCATAGCAATTTGCTATGCATTTTTTTATATGACTGCTATACAAAATATCATGTGTGTAGCATTTTTCTTCCATAGAAGTGTACACAATTTCATTTGAAACATTGATCTATCGGCTTAAATTGCTTATCAAGTTTGAGGATGTAAAATTATTCCCTGCTGTGTTAAATCAATGCTAGTTTTCTTCTTCATTTAAATATGAGATCAAACATAATCAGGTATCCCCTTTGTACCATGTATAAGCATGCGGCACAAGTATATGCTTACAGGTTTGTATCGTTCAGTAACAAAACTTCAAACCCGCTTTTTTACAAAGAGCCCTGTATCGGATAGCGAAAGAGGCGATGATAAAGAGAGGAAATGCTGGAAAGAGAGTGGGAGAAAGGGATAAAAAAGAACTAAAGTCAAGAGAAAGAAATATTATTAAAAACAGGAGAGAGAGAGAGGGAGGGGTGGGTGGGCAAGAGAGAAAGAGAGAGAGGTAGCAAATGAAGAGGAGAAACGCACATTAAAGGTTATACAAGTAAGATTTGTTATTACAATATGTGGTAATCATTACCGTGGTAAAGAAAAAAAAATGAGACTCACTCTATGCTTTTCAGGTGTGGATGAGTCTTCATGAGTTTGATAATCTCAGCTGCCTTCTTGTTGTTCAGGCCAATTATGCTAATGGACAGTTTGGTGAGTCGAGGACATGATGTTTTAACCGCATCGCAAAATGACACGGGATCATTCAGTGTATTTAATGGCCACAATGCATATTGCTGTATTTCCTGCATGTGAAGGTGAGTTAGATGATGAAATGGAGAGCAGGCCATTGTGACGACGTCTGATGAGAAATTCTCCTCGTTCTGCCAGTTCAGTTGGAGTTTTTGAACTCGGGGACATGATGTATGAAGTCCAAGATTCCACAGGGTGGTCACATCCTCACAATCCACACATAGCTCATCTACTGAGGTTATTTGAGGAATCTACAAGAGATACCAGCGATGCAAAAAGAAAAAGGCTCAATATATATTTCATGTATGGAAACCAACACTAATGTAAGATTTTTTTCTAACTTTAATTGCTGTAGTCACGTAGAGAACTTTTACTGTTCATATCACGCTTGGTAAACATTTCACAAATATACAATAATAAAACCTAAAGTTTTTTTTTATCCCTTCAATGTAAGTTGCCGAAGTAGAAATAAACAAATGGGTAGGTTTGTGAAATGGACAAAGAATACACATGTACAAAAGTTTTGAACTTTGGGATGCCAAGATTATAAATGATACAGAGAATCTTCTATTGGCATTACAGTCACATGCGATGCCGTTTCGGTTGAACTGATTTCTTTTTCCAAAATATTAAATATAACTATCTTTTATTATTGTGATATTCGTCTATTTTGTGATTCACATTTTTTTTATTGTGATATTAGTACATCTAGACTCACACAAAAAATCAATCAAATGACTTCACTTTACTGAAAGTTACAAATTTGATGATGAAGACAATAAGCAACAGAATTCTCCATGGGAAATAGCAAATGGGAATCATTTATCAATTGATATTTAATGAGCTTTGAAAGAAATGTGGATGGTTAAACTTCATCCTAAGTTTAAAAATATATATATATATATAAAACCACCCATCAATTTACTAAAGTGCCCGTAGTATGTTGATCAAAGTTGATTTCAAAACAAAATACAGTATTGTTTTGGCAATTTGTTAATCATTCATATTTATTCTGTTTGGTTTTCTGAACCCCTTCCTTTTGAGCTTGGAACAAAAAGAGGATTTTGACTTCAATCTTGGAATAGTAAAGATACATACCAGTGTCTCTCCATCGTCCATGTCAACTGGTCTGATATTCTTCAAGGTTAGTGACTCGAGGCATGGTAGCGAGAGAATGGAGTGTAGTCGACTTGGAGTCATCATGGAAACATCATCCATAACCAGCATCTGGATCTGTGCCAAGACAATTTATCCGTTCACACAAAAATGAAATCCATGATGCGATCCGATTATTGTTTTTACAAACATAAACGCCTTTTAAAATCACAGCTATAAATATCAGATGAATCTGCATCTCAGTAACTTTATTATTCACTAAATCTGATTGTTTCATCTCGATTTCTGCTATAGTTCAAATGAATCAACATATTATAATAGACAGAAAAGCATTTCAATAGTGCATAGCATGATGTATTTCAATAGAGGTACTTAAGCTATTATGTCGGTGGGAAGACGTTACATTAAAATGATATCTTCATGAGAGTATGTTAAACTTTTTCCCCTTTGATTTTCAGTAGGCTTATTTCATCTGTTTCCTTCAACGTTTATTAGTATTTCATTAATTCTTCTAAATTCACTAGATACATCATTAACCTCTATACTTTGACTTTAAAAGCAAGGGAAAGAGAAAATGAGAGAGAGAGAGTGAGAGAAAGAGACGGCAGAGACAGGGAGATAGAGAGAGACAGAGAGAGAGAGAGAGAGAGAGGGGCTAAAAAGCCCATGCAAAGGAAGTGAATGCATACATATTGCTTGAGATATGTGATACATCTGTCACTGGACAGGCAAGCGAATTGACATTGATCCATATTATTGATATCAGGTATATTTTACAAGAAAATTGTGAGAACCGTCTAAAGTGAAAACTCCGCTAAAGTGTAACCTGAGGCCCAAGTTTCTGAAAGAAGTTCACTTCAGCTAACGGGCACCGCGGTTGTATTGTACGTGCGCACGGAGGCGTCACGAGGAACTGACCAGTGTCCAGCAATCTATGCATTACAGTTACTCATCACAGTTATAGTCTTAGTACATTCCATGGAAAGGGGATTAATTCAACTATCAGAAAACCTCCCCTTGTGTGGGTCTAATCAAGGACAAACAGAGGTATATACACCGTGAAAAGAATAGTTCCTGTTAAAGTGCTAAGTACAGGGAAAGTCATACACTTGAGAGGCACCCCAAAACTTTAACAGCAGGTTACACTATAGCAGCAGGCTACACTTTAACGTCAGTTAGCAGCAGGTAACAATATAGCAGCAGGTTACACTTTAGCAGCAGGTTACACTTTAGCAGCAGGTTACACTATGGCAGCAGGTTACATTATAGCAGCAGGTTACAATATAGCAGCAGGTTACACTTTAGCAGCAGGTTACACTTTAGCAATAGGTTACACTATAGCAGCAGGTTACACTTTAACATCAGGTTACCTTTAGCAGCAGGTTACACTTTAGCAGCAGGCTACAGTTTAGCAGCAGGTTAAACTTTAGCATCAGGCTACAGTTTAGCAGCAGGTTACACTTCAGCAGCAGGTTACACTTTAGCAGCAGCAGGTTACACTTTAGCAGCAGCAGGTTACACTTTAGCAGCAGGTTACACTTTAACCAGTGGCGGATCCAACAAGAAGTGTCTCTTAATACATCCTCTTTCACATAATTACACAATTTAAGTGAACCAAAGCCATCAAATTTAGGGCCTCCCAACAGTTGCAGTCTCAACATGAGCAGATAAAGGTCATTGCAGATCATTTTGTGAAATACACAGAGACAAAATACTGGATACGTCCTCATGAAAGTTATGTAATCATTATTCATTCATGCACAAGCAGCGCACTCCATGATACACAGGTGGAAGTATTCTTTGAAAAGGGGAAACAAAGGCTATTTATGTAGCACCTCCATCGCTGTAGGAGTGATTATTTCAAAATGTACAAAGTGGGACCTCTTCATGTTTTGAAGATCAGTGGATATTCGGGGTCATTTGGGACATGTGCTAACTGTGAACTGGTCTATTTAGAGAGGCTTTAAAGCTTGGCTGTAGCAAAACAGCAGTACTTTGTATTACACAGGAAGAGAGAAGAGGGAGAAAGAAAGAGAGACAAATAAAGAAATTGAGAGAAAGAGGAGAAAGATAGATAGAAAGAGAAAGAGAGAAACACAGAAATGAGGAGGAAGATACATAGAAAAAGAGAGAATGATAACGAGAGAAGAAAGAGAGGAGATGAGAGAGAGAGATAGATAAAGATAGAGACAGAGAGAGGGGAGGGAGAGAGAGAGAGATGAGGGAGATACAGAGAGGGGGAAGAGGAGAGAGGTTATAGTGAGAGAGAAAACGAAAGCAGAGATAATTTATAGGAGAAAGAAGATAACTAAAACAATCGAAAAATTTGTTACAATAATATTTGGCGAGGTGCATATTCTGTCGCGCATAATTCACGACGAAATTCGCGTCAAAATATGTGATTTATCGCATATTACATCATGAATTTCACAACAAAGTTTGTGGTTCGCGTTGTCCCTTCAGTGCCACCATATGGTTTGCGTGTGTTACGCTACAAATTGTATTATACGGGTATATAACGTATCCGCTGAAGTGAACCTTTTTTTCAATTACTTAGGCGTTACTTTAGCAGCTTCACAACTGTCTTAGGCATTAGTTGTTACCTGATATCTTGGTCTTGTGGGCTACGGTTAAAATCAGTTAAAATTATTTCGCAAATTGGGGAATGATATATCAAAACAGGTAACGTCGCCCCTGTCAAAATGATATGCATTTCTATATTCACATTTACATTTTTGAAATGATGTTGTTGTCTTTGCATTATCCCCCATTTCACTTTGGCCATTGTCATCTTAAGTGGATTGAACAATAAAGCTGTCACCACAAGAAAATGATCTGTATTTCCAAAGAAAAATTCTAGAATTTGTGATTAAAAATGACTGAAAGTAAGAGTCGATTGAATTTATATAATCATGACACTGAAGTCCATTCAATTAAAATGATTCACCTTCCTGCTTGACAGCATGTTCAGACTATTGTTTTATAATGAGCGTGGTTTTGACAAATGACCAAACATTATTTCAAGACAAAAAGTGTGAAATACATGTAGCATTACATTTACTTTGGAGAATGCAATACGAAGGTTATCGTTTCCAAATACAAGGGAGAGATGGGGAGAGAGAGAGAGTAAACTAGTGGACATTGCTGTGGTACGAGCAAAATAAAGACGAGATAAAAAAAGACAAATGAATGACTTAAATAGTTAAAAAGGAGACCATTTGATGTCTTGTCAAGCAAAATAAAATTTTATATCTGTCTATCTATATTGTGCATGTAATATCTTATTAGGACAATAAATAATCCACACACAACAGAGGCGGAATACATGACATGTGATTAAAAACACGGGTTTAGATGCATCTATATCATTATGACACTGATTCTGTTCACATTATAAATTGTCATGCATGGTCAGACTGTCCATTCTATATAAACGTGCTTGTGTGATTAAATGACAATAAACGATTTCTAAAAAAATTTAAAAAAGGGCAAAAAAACATTTCTCCACTTATGGTTGGTTTGAAGAATGCAAACAATATTTAGAAGAAAAAAAATGTTTCCAATAGAAATCGTGTCTGGTATACCTTTGATTTTGATGCCTCAGAGGCCATCGTTGAGTAGAACTCTTCACTCAGCTTTACAGAGTACAGATCCAGTGATCGAAGATTTGGCATGGAGCAGAGACCTCTCGCATAATGAGAAGATGCAGCCGAACCCAGATCTGCGTGTTCATGCGTTAGCCCCTTAATCTGGTGATGTGACAGGACAGGTTGAATAGAGTTACCGGTAATAGTAATATCAAGTATAGGCGACGCGTCCAATTTTAATATTTTACATCGTCATTTATGTAATATCATCATTAAGCTCTTTTACTAGACTTTTAAAGCAAGGAAAAGAGAAAAGGAGAGAGAGAGAGAGAGAGAGAGAGAGAGACAGACAGAAACAGAGAGATAGAGAGAAAGAGAGGGGGGCTAAAAAGCCCAAGGGAAATGGGTGTGTTAAGAGAAAAGAAAGACGAAATGAAGATGTAAAGATTATTGGTACTACAAAATTGGAGAATCGCGTTAAAAAAAGCTATACTTAAGCTTTTTGTCTTGCACTCTTCAGAGTAAAATGCAAGAATGAACAGAAAGCTGAAATCAACCAATATAAACGGACATTAAAAGGAACAAGGCGCATATATAACGAGCTCTGATTGGCTGTCTAAGGTCATCAATAATAACTGGTTGGAAAAGAGTGACCCCATCTGTTCAAGCAGAATAAAAGAGTTATATCCATCTATTTACAATGCACAATTAATACTAATTTCTTGCGACTATTGACACAATTTAAATAATTTTAAAAAAAGAGGTGCGAAATACTAATTGTAGGATACATGCTTTAAAAATACACATTTATATGAATTTATATCATTATGACATTAAAATCCAGTCTAGTCACACGACTCAAGCTCTTTATTATAAGTATTGTAAGAGTATTATATTGATAAAAACATAATAGCAACTACTGACAATAAATGATTTCAATTTTTGTTTTAATGTGAAAATCATTTATCCACATAATATGTTCAGTTTGAAGATTGCAAAACTATTGGGCGAAAAATTGTTTGTTTTGGTATACCTTTGATTTTGATGCCTCAGAGGCCATCGTTGAGTAGAACTCATCACTCAGCTCCATATAGTCCAGATGCAATGATCGAAGATTTGGCATGGAGCAGAGACCTCTCGCGTAAAGAGAGGATGCAGCAGAACCCAGATCTGCGTTCTCGTGCCGTAGCTTCTCAATCTGGTGATGTGACAGGACAGGTTGAATAAAATAAATAGTAATATCAAGTATAGACGACATGTCTAATCTTAATATTTTTTGTTGTCATTAATGTAACATCATTTACTTCTTACTAAGACTTTTAAAGCAAGGGAAAGAGAAAAGGAGAGAGAGAGAGAAAGAGAGAAAGAGAGAAAGAGACGGAGAGAGAGAGAGAGGGGCTAAAAAGCCCAAGGGAGATGGGTGTGGTATTAAAGAACAATGAAAGACGAGATGAAGAAAGTCAAAGGTGATTAAGTATGAATAGTTGGAAAAAAAAGAGAATCTGTTTAAGCAGATCAAAGATCTTATTTCTTTCTTTCTACGGTGTACATGTATATCTCCTTGAGACTATTGACAAACTATAAATGATTTCTAAAAACAAAATTGAAAATTCTATTTATAGGATACATGCTTTTAAAACACACATTTATATGAAGATATTACTTTGTCACAATAAAGTCCAGTATATTCAGTTTTCACATGATTCATATGAGTGTGCTGTTGACTCATGACAATAAATTATTTCAATAAACATGCGAAATACTATTTATAGGATTGAAGTATTACTTATGTGCAGTACTGTTACATCATGATGGTACATCATCAATATATATTATCTACCGGTATATTAAATACATGTTTATTACACCTCTTTCAAATTGAAAGATAAAAAAGTGAGTTCTTCCATTAAAATACATGTATATCAACTCAGTAATAGTAATAGTAAAATGTATTTCTTCATAGATAGAAGGGTGACAACGACTTTGACTGGGAGTCACATTTTCCACCGATGTCCCAAGCCCCGCCAAAATGTGACAAATTAAGAGAAATACAACAAAGGAAGATACATATTTAAAACAAGGGAAACGCTCTTGGCGGTTTCGCCTTCATTACGCAATTCCATATGATGAAAAATTGAGGTTTCTGATGTTGACGCCGCCGCCGTCACCGGAAAAGCGGCGCCTATGCAGGCGAGGCAATAAGTAAAAAGAAAAAAAGAAAAAGGAGAGTAAGACCCTGTAAACCCTCTTGACACAAAAAAACAGACCGAGTATCCTAAAAAATCAGATTTTCACAAAAACTCGACCAAGTGTTTGCTCTTTCATTAAAATTTAAAGAGAAAATTGTAAAGCAAAGTTTTTGTTGGGGTTGCAGGGGTTTACTTGTACATGTTTCTATGCGGTTCCGCTGTTTTTATGGGTTTAAAAAATCAAACAAAAAAAAATTGTATTTTAAGATTTTAAAATTGGATTTCACTCTTATTATCGTACTAAATACGATTTAATCGTACTGGTTGACATCTCTGCTTTTATGATGCTTAGATTTCCTACCTTAGTGAAAAGCAGAGAACAAAATTATGGGTGTGAATGACCAAATTTTGTTCATGATTCTAATACTTTTCTTTATTTTATTAAGCAACAAATAGGAGCACAGTACCGGTATACATCGATTAAGAAATAATGATAATTATGATTTAGGATTCATTGATGTAAATAACCAGGCCCGTCATACCTTGGACTGTGAAGCTGCAGCAGACATTCCTGTGCAGAATTCATCATCCAGACGCTTGATTCTAATGGTCAAGTATCGTAAGTTCTGTAATGTGAAGAGACCTACTGCTGCTACATGCGACGATGATGCTTTAGTTTCAAAAGACTTGTTAACACCCAATGTTTCACAAATGGAAGAACTCCTTCTTACCTGTATCACAAGTAGAACAAATAGAATTTTGGCATTAAATCTGTTGATTTTATTGCCGACATAATTTCAGTAATTTTGTGTGTGTTCATGTGTAGTATACCGGTACAGTTATAAAAAATATACCATGGTGTATATTATTTTCACCATAAAAGATGGCACGGATGTGTGTAAATACCAAGGATATAAATATACCAAGACCAAGAAAAGAATGAATCAAATGTTTAAAAAATATAAATTCTTGTTACTACTTTAATGTTTTAACTTAAAAATGTATTCATTGTTATATATTTGTCCTCATTTGCTATGTTATCTTTATGTTTTTGAATGCTTTTTATATTGATGTAAACTTGCATTTTTAGTCTTTGGACTTGTTGACAAGTAATGAATAAAACTTTATTTGAACTTGAATTTGAACTTGAACTTGAATCAAAAGAGTTATATATATATATATATATATATCATCATAACGTGTGTAAGAAAGATATAAACGAACTATAACGATTATAAAGGCATAACGGCGGGTATTCAAAATATAACATGACCTACATCAAATATTAGTTTGTTTGGTTAGGTGACTTTTTCCCTGTGAAGAATTTGAGTGTGGGCGTATGTCGGTGTGTGTGTATTATTGTTTGGTCTTTGTTTGATTCTAAAATTGCCAAGTGATATTCCTAAATTTTTCCTAAATTTCCTTCCTTTCTTTTCTATGACTCTCGCTCTTGTATTAGACTATAATTACACCTTGTAGGCTGATATGATACTCAATAACAACGGGAGAACATGGCAGGTTCTATAAAATGATTATTGGTCAGTAGAACAGAAAAACAGACAATATATTTTGTAGGTCTCTTGTATTTGTATTCTCTTCATAGCAAAATTTGCATACATATAATCACTGAAGGCTCAAAAGATGACAGTATTCCCTCTACCTGATAACATTTCACAACTAGATGAACAAAATTTGAGAAATGTCTATGATTCTATTCACAGAACTTACTACTTCTTTCCCTATTGACTTCAGTGTGAAGACATATGCGGCGATTGGATCATCAGAACTAAGGTCAAGAACTGCCTTCGCCTTCAGAAGATTCCTGACGGGATCAATGACCTCTGAATCATGACATTCAAAAGCAACCTCCATGATGAACTCCACGTCATCAACTTCCTTGCATAGAGCTTCCAGGACCGACTTTCCTACTTCACCTGCATGAGCTGCAGTAAAGTACAAGACATACCTGAATTCCATGTAGTCTTCTAAAAGACTGTCTGCCAGGATTCTGTTGAATTCTCGACGATCTTCGTCGAACAGCAATGCAAGGTAGAAACTTGCTATGTACTCCTGCAGTAACTTATGAGGGAAAGAGAATTCTTGAATGAATTGCTCTTGCTGACTTTCTCTGATTTGCAAGGGTGCTGGCCTTATTTCCATGCTAAGAATCCCGACCTCGCATGCAATCATTGCAGCCTCTGTGCATAAGCCGAATGCTTTTTCATCAAAGATGAACTGTTTATCCAACAGACCTTCGAATGCGATACAACCAATATCTCTCATATTTTTACTAGCTTTCTTCATGCGGCTTCCATAGCCCTCTTCTAATTCATTAGGTTTGGAAGAGTATTGCTCTTGAAGTGAAAAGACAAGACGCTTCAATAGTTGCGAGAATGTTTCCATTATCTGAATGTTTTCCCGCCGAGAAGGCGTTTTCCACAGGGTACATAGCATACAGCAGAATATCGGGAAAGGTGCCATGTACTCGGAAACCACTTGGTTTGTATCAATGAAGTTAATGAGGGTCGAAGCAGACTGAGAATCATCTTTGAAAAAGTTTTTGATATATTTTGACATGTTTTTCTTTGTGAAGCCCTTAACCTTACCAAACGTGTAGTGCTCATTAATCGTCATGATGCTCTTGATCTGATCTGCTCCAAAAGGACGGGTTGTGATGACAACCGGGGTATCAATGAATCGTTCTCCTCTTACGATCGATACGATAGCGTCATTGCGATTTGGCTTCTTGATGTCGATTCGTGCTTCGTCCAGTCCGTCCAATAAGATAAGGACTTTTCTCTGATTGTTCTTGATATAGTCATCAATCCGTTCCCCTTTTATTTCTGAATCATCTGGGAAATGGCCCATGACAGTATCCCCAAAGAATCCGCTCTCTTTAATCTCTCGAAATGATTCAAGAAAAAGCAGATTTATTTCTTGAAGAATTTTACCCTCAGCCCAATCAAGAGCTATCTTAGCAAACAGCGTTGATTTCCCTACACCAGCTTCTCCAATGAAAGCTAATCGTGTTACAAAACCTGTCGGTGTGTCAGTTTTGATGAATTTAAACAACCCATCATAATCTATTGACTCCTCCTTTTCCCCTTCCAATCCCAACATCAGGACGAGACTGACATAGATGTGCTGAAGCCATGTTCGTGACGCAGGGTTCACAGGCGATGTTTTGATCCGACCAAATTTCTTGCGATATCTACGTTTCAGTTGTTCTCTTAACCTCATTATGTCACTTGGCATCGCCTCATCGTCACCTGAGGAAAAAGACAAGAGCATTATTGCAAACTAATGATATAAGTAAGTAAATTAGATACAGACTAAATTGGTTTGAAATCACTGCTGAGTAAGTTGATACCGTATTGTTGTTTCTACTTACCATAAACAGGTTCTGCTGATAATAAGGGTTCAGTAAAGGCTTAATTAATGAAAACTAAATTTGCTTGTTTAAATGATTTTTAAAAAATGTTTCAAATAGATTGTTTCTGTTTGTCTGTCGCTCCAATTTGGGGTATTCTGAGGGGGCTAGGAACAGTGGTCGGGTCCACTCGGGTGGTGCATGTGTCGCATGGGGGAGGGGGGGAGGGGGGGTAGTAGTGTGTTTGGTTGGATGGGGTCATTTGTTTTATGTTACAACTGATTTCATTTTTTTTTTCATCAATTGTACAATCTATGTAATGAAAATGTTCTGAATTCATGTCAAGGAAAAACAACTGTATTCTATTTCTAAGATTGATTTGTATTGTTTGGAATAAAAACAAAAAACTATTGAAAAAAGTGTGTGTTATTTTTTGTTTACATTCATGTATCAATCAAAAAATATTATTTACGTCTGGGGACCGCCTTTTAATGGCACCATTCGAAAGACCTTACTCAGTTTCGAACCGGGATAACCGTACTTGAGCCAGTTTGTAGGCGAAGACAGAGAGCTGATCAAGTGAATGTGCGGCAAGACCATTTCACATCTCCATATCACATATGATTAGTAATCAAGTTGGTTTATAAGTACTTTCATATACAACTATAAGTTATAAAGGGAAGCTTACCACTGCAGCCGCTTGACGTGAAACATGTCTCTTCCACTTCTCGTAAGCCTGCGTTTTTGAGAGCAGCTCTAAGAATTGGAAGTCGCTTGGATGATTCGACCGTCTCTGCCCAGTTCTGGAGCATCATCACGTTACCATGCCATGTCTTTTTACCTCCAGCCCAATTGGTAGCTAATGCCCGGTTGATATCAGGAATCCGGACTTCCAGCTCAGTACCAAGTTTCATTAAATCGCCATCATCTGATATAGCATTTGCTACTTTGATGATGACGTCATCAAATCCATGTGCTTGACTCAATGTTTGACCGCTAGAATAAAAAAGCACAATATTAAAACATATTTAGTTACATGTATATTACACAGCTAATCAAGCCTTTTATTTGTTTATATCACAAATTCCACTAAGTGAATAATCTAACAAAATAATTCACTAAGTGAATAGTCTAACAAAATATTCTAGTAAAATTTCAATTCCTTCCTGCTTTATATTTCATGCCACTGGTATGTGAAATCATTATTTAGCAGAGTTAACAATTCTTCATTTCCATTATACACGAGTATGTGAGCTGGCAGTATTCAAGGGGCTTTCTCTTATATACATGTATACATTGTACACATATTTTATTTATTTATATCTATAGCGAGCCTTGAAACTTCCTTCCATTTTGAAGAATTTAATTTGAAACGCAAATGAATGAGAGGTAAGTTGAGTTTCATGATTAAACCCTTCCGTATCTAGCAAACCTCCGAACTTCCTTTCGTCGTGAAGAATTTGTAAACGCAAATTTATCAGAGATGAGTCTAGTTTAATGATTAAATTAAACCCTTCCTTATCTGGCAAACCTTGGAACTTCCTTTCATCTTGAACAATTTTGAATCACAAATGAATCAGAGGCGAGTCGAGTTTCATTATTAAACCCCAGAACTTCCTTTCATCTGATTAATTTGGGCTTCTAAATTCTTATTTTGAGTGTACCAATAAAAAGCTTGGTTATATCCTTGACGGTTGGTGTTAGTTATTTAAATTATTTCCCTATGAGATGATTTTTTATTACTTTTCTTGTTTCATAACAATTATTGACAATCGATTATTATTACTACAAAGCGTTAATTCACATGACATTTTATAACAATTAACCTGAATTACTTTTCGAAGAAATATATGATCTCACTCAATCAGTCATTGGCATTCTGTGACCAGTGCCAATTGTTAACAATTATACATGTACCACATGCTATTACCGGTATGCTAAACATATCTGTACCTTTCACTTGGTGTGACATCACTCAGGGGTTCAGTCATCTCTCCGGTTTTCTGCCTCTTTGCCATCATGAATAGCATTCAGGCTGAGGAAAAATGTCAACATATAAATAGAGAAATAATCACAAACATGGGGTACACCATATGGCCAGAGCTGCCAATCTCCAGAACAGAAAATCAGTAATCACAAGGTTCAAAGGGGGGGGGGGGGGGGGGGGGGGGGGGGGGGAGGGGACATTTTTTTTTGTTCCAAAAATCTTGCAACAACTCAGCCAGCCGTTGAATAAGCGGGGGGGGGGGGGGGGGTAAGAGGACATTTTTTTTTTCTCGCAAAATATCTCCATAATTTCAAAATTTGGTCGATCGGTATTGGGGTGGGGTAAGGTCTGTCATTCATTTTTGGTCACCAATTACCACAATTTTTTATTTTTATATAAAAAAAAATAAAAAAAAACGCTTCGAGGGGTAATTTTATATGATTTTGTGAAAGAAACGTTATAATTTCGTATATATACAGTAAATATATCATACCGAAAAAATTTGCAGGGGGTGCTATGCCCCCCTGGAAAATTTCCGGGGGTGCTGCAGCACCCCCAGCACCCCAGCACCCCCGCTTCCCAGGGCCATGAATGTATGTGACAAAAGGACGAGGTATTTTGAAACACACATCGAGTGATTTCAAGTTCGGTGTTGCTTCACCAAAAAAAAATGTTGATATGGTGATCAATTTATATTGCACTGCTTAGAGCATGAGTCAAGTAGACCTAAATGTATGCTAGGTATTTTTAAGAAAGTTGCAAATTGTGTACAAGATCTTGAACAATGGTAAACGAATGAGGAAAGATTCGTTTGGGGTACGAGAGGTCCCGAGTTCCAATCACTCCAAAAACTCGCAAATGAAGGCCAGAAACTATACACATGTATATAATGTACTTGCATGTCCTTGCTTGATGTTTATTAATGAACTCTGTTTACCAAAATGTGTGCTATTAGCATAATCATCATGAATAAGTAAAACCATGGGGAATTTTGGGGGCAAAAAAATATGGCTGTAAATGGCCATGGTGTTTGAAGGAGAATGCGTATAGTCCGTTTCCGTCTCTAAAGAGAGAGCCGACCCTACCCAAATAAGAGGCTTAACGAACGAAAGAGACAGAAAATTCGGTCTAGAAGTCTAGGCCTATAGTAGACAGAAATAACTGTCTGGTATGGGTCATTCTTTGGCGCTTATTCAGTAAGGTATCCAAAATATGACCCGTAACTCTAATTTGGGATTGTGTTTCAGCATTTCTGTTTGATATTTGAATAAAAAATGTAATCAGAATAATACATTTCAAATTTCAAGTCTCACCGATGTTTCTATCAAAAGATACAGCCCCTCCAAAACACTGCAATATTCATATCATTTTGGTCAGAATCGACAAAAAAGACGTACACGCAGAGTTATGTTGTTTTGCTAAATTTGGCCAAACAGCTGTATCGCGCAATATGCAAGCGTATGTATATCGTACGCATGTTGCTAAGCTGAATGCGCGACTTGCAGCTTCCAGCTTGAGCCACGTTGTCTCCGCGATATTTGCCATTGACTAGTATGGCTAGCCGTTCGCGCAAAATAAACAGGAAGTGAATATACGTTATAGTCAATGGCAATATCGCAGAGACAAGGTGCACGTTGTCTAGGCCTACATGTAGCCTATACAGCTAATCACATATAGGAGCTGGCATCACTATCCTGGCCGGCTGTGTAGTAAAAGCTGTGCTTTTGATTCACAACATTTCAAATACCACTGTACAAAACTCAACTGATTTCACTCAAAATCGGTACTTTAGTGACAATTGATGACACCTAAATAGCAGTAAAATACATTTTTTTAACTTAGATCTAGATCTGTTGATGTTAAAAAGAATAATTTAAAAATTCAAATTGTAAGTCTAGTGTCAAACTTTGCTTAGAGCTGCATCAACATGATATATATTTGTGTATAGGTCTAATAATACCCGCCTCACAGCAAGCATGCAGTGCTAGAGGCACTATGAATATGACTGACAAAGAAAGCGGACAAAATATACAGTTCCTCAGGTAGATAAAGGGACATTCCTTCACTGCTATTATTATGTAAAAATGTGTAAAACAGGTGTCACATGCATATTCACCTTTTTACATAATAGCAGTGAAGGGATGTTCCTTTGTCTATCTGAGGAACTGTATATTTTGTCCGCTTCCTTGTTTGTCATGTTCATAGCGAGGTCAATTGACTCTCTAATGCTTTGCTGGAGTCACAATACACGCACAACGCATACACTGTTACTTATACTGTTTTCACACTGGCAATATTTTGCTTAACCCCGTACTATAGGTGGGGTTAAGGGGGGGTCTTAGCCCCACCTATAGTACGGGGTTAAGCCTATTCCACTTTCTGTTCAGACTGGTTTTTACCAAAGTGGGCTAAAGTTGGCTAACCCCACCTATAGTACGGGGTTAACTAACCCTGCAAAATAGCAGGGCTAACTCCGCAATTGTGGTGCTAACTCCTGCTAACCACGCAATTGCGGTGCTAAGCAAATGAATGAGAACAGAAACGAAAAATAGTCCGGTACTACGCAATGGAGCGTATCGCAGCTGGCCAGATGCGAAGTATGTCCAATCATAACATAGAGTCTAGACTCTACACGATATCCGGGGTTAACGAAATGCAGTGAGAACAGCGGGGATTTTCTTATTCCGGAATAGGCGCTAGTACGGGACTAAAAACAGCGAGTGTGAAAAGCCAAAAAAATAGTCCGGGGTTAAGGATAGTACGGGGCTAAGCAAAGTACGGGGTTAAGCAAAACCAGTGTGAAAAGAGTATTAGTGTTACTGTATAGCGCTTACGACTAGACTAGTTTCTAGATCTAGATCTAGTAACGATGTAGACCTACCGTTAACTTGCCAAATTTGGCACACGACATTTCACATTTCGATACAGGCAATCCTATACTTTAGTGTGTTTTATTATTTTGGGTTTCTAACTTCAGTTAATAACAGCTCTTCGTGCATATCATAGGGTTAGGGTTAGGGTTAGGGTTAGGGTAGGGTTAGGGTTAGGGTTAGGGTTAGGGTAGGGTTAGGTTTAGGGTTAGGTTTAGGTATAGGGTTAGGTTTAGGGTTAGGGTTAGGTTTAGGGTTAAACTGAAGTTAGAAACCCAAAATAATAAAACACACTAAAGTAAAGTATAGGATTGCCAAAAAATGTACACTTCTGATAGACTATTCAGAATAAAATGAAACTTAGTCAAACATAAGATGAAATGTTAAACAAACATCCTACATACCTTTCAGCTTGACCTGAAGCTCCGATTTGTGATGGGAAAGCTGTACACTAGATCCTCGACTGCAATGCAAGGCAAACCTACTGTCGGCAAATTTCGAGAAAGACATGGGAGAACACGTGATCTTCGCTATATGACGTAGGACGAAATAACCCCGATAACCAATGAAAATCCTGCATTTTTTGGGGGGATTCCCCCGATAGCTCTCTGTGTAGCTAGCTGGCTGGCGCGCACGCCAAGCCTTTGTACCTCACTTACAATCACATCTCAATCCAATCACAACTCACTTACATGTACAAAAATGAAACTTATCATTTCTTATATAGTTAAGACAATAATGTATTTTTTTTTTTTTTTTTTAATTATTTTTTGTTTTTATCTTTCTTTTTCTTCATGTTTGTATTTAGATTGTTCATGTGGTATTCTCCACTTTTCATGTATGCTTGCCATATTGTATAATAGTGTATTTATGTTTAGCATAGGCTAGGTTTAGATCATTCCTATTTATCGTTATACTTTTATATTGTTGTTTTGTTGTATTCTGTATTCTTTGTATTATTAAGCTATGTTTGTATTCTTTATTATGTATCATTATCATGACATATACATGTGTTGTACTCTCATACCCCAGAAGGGGGTCGAATGAGTCAATAAATTCTATACTCTACTCTTCTATACTCACTTTCTTTTTCTTTGTCTTCTTCTCAGTGCTTCCTTCCGCGTCATATCCAGAATAATCCCGTTCACGGTCAACTTAGTTGTGCCTAACTGTCAAGGCGCCTAAATCTTTGGCCGACACTTTTTATTCTGCTATTGTACGGAATGACCGAACATTTTCAGAATACAGAGCCGATATTAAAGTTAAACAGTAAGGTACAGAGCCGATATTAAAGTTAGACAGTAAGGTCCATGCAGGGGCGTCGCTAGACCTTTTTCAGTGGGGGGGGGGGGGGGTGTAGAGGCCAACGATTACCGACAAAACTAGCCACCGATTACCAATTACCAATTAAGCGGAAGCTTTGACGTTTCATTAAATTATGAGAAAAAAGCAGAAGATTTGGTGTACTGTTCTCGACTCTTAATCCTTATCTGAATTCAGTTCTCCACTCGCTCCCGCGCAGCGCGGAGTTTTGACGTTTCATAAAATTATTATGAAAAGAAGACGATTTATTGTACTTTTCTCCACTGTTAATTCTTGTCTGAATGAAGTCCCCCCCCCCCCTCCCCCTCCCACGCGAAGGCCGAAAGCTTTGACGTTTTATCAAATTATTATAAAAAAAAGACGATTTGCTGTACCGTTTTCGACTCTTATTAAGCCCTATTTGTCTGAATTCATTTTTCTCCTCTCACGCGAAGCGCGGAAGCTCTGACGTTTCCTTAAATTATTAGACAAAGCAGACGATTCGTTGTACCGTTCGCGACCCTTAATATAATTTGTCTGAATTCAGTTTCCCTCCTCCCGCGCGAAGCGCGGAAGCTTCGATGTTCCCTTAAATTATGAGAGAAAGCAAACGATTAGTTGTACTGTTCCCGACTCTTAATCCTTATCTGAATTCAGTTTCTCCCCCTCCCGCGCGAATCGCGGAAGCTTAGACGTTGCCTTAAATTATTAGAGAAACAAGACGATTCGTTGTACCGTTCTCGACTCGTCTAAATGAAGTTTTCCCCTCCCGCGCGAAGCGCTGAATTTTTGGCGTTTCATCAAAATATAGAGAAAGGAAGACGATTTGTCGTACCGTTGTTGACTCTGAATTCTTGTTTGAATTTAGTTTCCCCGAAAATGTTAAACCTCTGATTTCTTTAGCTGAT